CCATCTGCTGTTAAAATCTAAGCTCAGAATTGATTCCAGAAAGAATCGCGATGCACGAATCGATTCTGCATCGATTTATTATCACAGCCCTAGTGCTACCCCTAATGTCTTGAAGAATGCAAATGAAGCTCAAGTTCCAAAATGACAAAAAGTAATACCACAAAACTATGATACAAGTAGAACTAGTGCACCATGAATTCACATAACTTTATTAGACCAAAAGTCGGCGTTATTCACTGAAATTATTGACTTTCATCTTGGTTTTCTTTGGCATGTTCATGAGCTAAGTAGATAGGTCCCTGATTTGTGAACAAATCATTGTTTTGAGTCAAATCTTTTGGTGACTCAGTTGGTCTAGTTAGCAAATCAGATCCATTTTTGAGTTATATTCACTGGCTCTTGTCACCACCGATAGCCTTGTGGGCAGTGCGCCGACATACAGCGCCGTTGCGCTATGGGTGTCCCGAGTTCGAACCCTGACTCGAGGACCTTTCCCGATCCTGCCCCCCTATCTCTCTCCCACTTCGCTTCCTGTCAGCTCAGATCTGTCCTTTCATAATAAAGGCAAAAATAAGTCTTTCAAAAATAAATAATTCACTGGCTCGATTATCAATTGGTTAGTCGTACAAAGCTGTCATATGACTTCAGAAATCATATGGACTACTTTAAGTGTTTTTGTTCTTGTTGCGGTTCAACAGCGTAAGTCCTCGTTCATTGTAATTGCATGGGAAAAAGCGACCAGGATATTCAAAATGTCATCTTTTGTGTTTCTCAGAGGAAAGTCAAGTCATACATGTTTAAAGCGACAGAGTCCAGTATCTCTTCATTTGTCATTTTATTACCCTGCAAAGAGAACTTTTGAGAACAGTCAACAATAAATGCATTTTAGAGTTGTTATCCAAAGGTTTTTAAAATGTGCAGTTTTATAGTGTTTCACCATGTTACTCACCATGAAATGGCCAAGGCATGGCGTTAAAACACCAACCAACTTAACCATGCGGAACATTTTTTAAAAGCTTGTTTGCACTTAAGATGGAAATATCACGTTTTCAGATATAGCCTAAATACCCTGAGAGTTCAAAATATTTTTTGTACGTGTTCCTCTCCACGTCTATCAATTTTACTAATACCAGGTTCTTTTCTTAAGAAATGAGTTTCCCCATTTGTGGGCAAGTATCAGTGGAATAGACTGGAATTCAAGTGTGTGTGTTCTGCTAGTCACGATGCAACATGCAGATAGATTTGACGTCATACGCATAAACCATACTGTGTGGTTGTTGAGAATGGGGTAATACAATTTTGTCATGTCAACTGATATTGACAAAACTTGCAAGAACTACATGATTCATTCATAGGCTCATCAATACTAAACCTCCAGTAAATGACTGATTGGTGAATTCAGCATTTTGATTTAACAAAAACTCTTTTAAAAAAGAAAAAAAGTACATGATGCACAAGAAACACGTTACAGGTTGTTTCTTTAACTGAAAATTACACCTGCTTTGCAAGTGTAGTGACTATTTAAAGTTGCATTTATGTATTCATTCATATATAGCCAACAATACATTGTATGGGTCAAAATGATTGATTTTTCTTTTATGCCAAAAATCATTAGGATATTAAGTAAAGATCATGTTCCATGAAGATATTTTGTAAATTTCCTACCGTAAATATATCAAAACTTAATTTTTGATTAGTAATATGCATTGCTAAGAACTTCATTTGAACAACTTTAAAGGAGATTTTCTCAATATTTTGATTTTTTTGCACCCTCAGATTCCAGATTTTCAAATAGTTGTATCTCGACCAAATATTGTCCGATCCTAACAAACCATACATCAATGGAAAGCTTGTTTATTTCAGCTGATGTGTAAATCTCAATTTTGAAAAATTGGCCCTTATGACTGGTTTTGTGTTCTAGGGTCACATATTTTTATTTTTCCATGGCACACTCTTGTTGATATTCACTTCATTGAAAGATAAGAATCTTATTTCCAAGTTAAGGGACTGCCTTTTCTGCCCAGAGTTAGTGGGATATCAGTGAATTTAACTGAATTTTGATCAAGATATATATATACTTTTAAATAGTTTCCTGCGAATTCTGGATCCTGTGGAAATGGTGCCCCAAGAATCGTAGAAAGTGTAGGAAGTGTTTCCTAAAGGTCATATGTAGGTAAACAGTTTTGAATTCAGCGGTCAGTTGGTGTATATATAGACTAGCATGCAACTGATGCAACTATTTGACAACAAGCAGGTGTTGACACCAGTTTAGAGCAGATGCAGTGGACACCAGGGACAACTTGATCCATTTGGGTTTAATTGCAGCTTTCACACCTTTTTGACTCGGTCTAATTTAAGAGACTTCTGAGAGGAGTGCAGAAGTGACTGCTTTTTCATGCTAATACATTCATGAAATTGTTTTACACATGAATGCATGATTATGCATCTGATAATGGAAGATTCTTGTAGTCTAGGATAAGTGTTCATTTTGACAGCACTTTTTCTTTTCAGATTTAGTTTAGCACCTGAAGGAATGCGTTAGTTGCGCAGGTTGTGAAATCTAAGGACAGTTGATGCGGTTTGGGAGACACCTATGATCTGCGGCGGCATGTGTCGGTTTTTATGTACACGTCTGTTTGACGTGCATGCGATCCAGTTCACGATCCCTGGTAAGGATGACAGAGAATAAGATCTAGAAAGCACATGCATCCCAGAAAAAAAGCTTAAGCTTGTTTTTGTGACCACCGAGTACCCAAAATTAAATTGGAGGCTGGTGACTTCTTAGCGGTCATCGTCCTTGAATGCACTACGCAATGCATTTTTTATTGAAAAACACTCAAGTAATGACCTTTTTTGTGTTGAATTCATTTTTGTATTCGTTTAGGGACTCATTCTAATATAAGGAGTTTAAAATTCAAGAATGCTTTTTGTTCACTTTTAACCAATTTATAATTGATTTCACGTTTGTGCATCTTAAGTATTTGCATAATTAGTCAAAGCGGATCTGCCTTTCCATTGTAAATAATAGCTACACACACATATATACACACGCACACATATATATATAAATACACACACAGACACACACACACACACACACACATATATATATATTTATATATATATACACACTACCAGTCAAAAATTTCGAATAATTATGGGTTATGTATTTATTTGTTGATCCAAGAAGTCTCTTCTGCTTACCGAGGCTGCATTTGTTTGTTCAGAAATATACTAAAACAGTAATAATGTGAGATATTATTACAATGTAAAATAACTGTTTTATTGTAATTTTTTTTAAAATGTAACTTCCAGCATCATTAGTGTCACATGAGCCTTCAGAAATCACTCAAATAATGTATTTTCTAAATCTTCCTGACCGTTTCCTAAAATGTTTTCTTTGAATGCATTAAAAAGTCGTTCGTATGATATAAACTTTAATAAGACAATCCCAATCCCAGACGAGGAAACACGAGCGGCTTGCTGATGCGTGGCCCCGCCTCTTGGGTGACGTCACTCGCCGGCCACGCCCCCTGAGAGCACAGATCCTTCAATCCTGAAGAGCGCCTTTACTGCTAACACACTTGTGTGTCTGAGACTAAACGATTACCAACATGCGCTGCCAGATGAGTTATTGCCTGCCATACTCTCCTGGCTCCTCTCCTACATATTCTGGGAGGTTATCATGCAGAGCACGATGCAGGTAAACGTTATGAATTTATAACAGGATTGAGACGCGAAGCCTTTTATTATTTTCCCGAGATAAACTCTTTTTGAGTGCATTCTGATGTGCTTTGGGTGACTTTTCTGAAAAGACACTTAATTTCTTAGTGTTATTAGTTATGTATCATTGTTGTGAAAAATAAATGTGGGTTTATGATGTGATATTATTATGTTAGATTAGTGAATGTTGGGTTGCGTTGCGGAATAAGCCTAAGGACATGTAACGTTACGCAGCGTTTGAGTTCATTAATATGAATACATCTAAAAACGTGCAGGTTGTACGTTTATGCTAAAACTCTTCCGCGTGCGCGGTGTTTGTTAAGCGAAGTATAATTATTTATTATCAGTTTACGTTAAAGCCTCGATTGTTTTGATGGTAGAAATCTAAGCAGCAGTTCACGCAGCGTTATTGCGCAACCAAATGACGGAACGGAAAGGAGTAAAACTAGGGTGACCATACGTGCCATTTTCCCAGGACGCGTCCTCGAGAGCATTTTGAAAGCGTAAGGAAGCGTCTGTATGGTATTTTGATGTCATACACCGATCGGTCTGCACACGCAAACAAAGCCAAAACCTAGATATTTTAGGCAATATAGAAATCCTGGCCAGGACGTGTCCTGGGAAAATGGCACGTATGGTCACCCTAGTAAAACTGACCTCGAGGGTCTCGAGGAGGGTTTAAAAAAGTTTTTTAACTGGTCATAAAAACGCAGCGTTCATAGCACAAAACGCGACCCAACGGCCTGACGCGCGTTTTCATTGATGGTAAGCAAGAACGCGTTCTGTGTGAACGGCCACTAACAGTATTGAAGCACGGCTTAATTTTCCCTTCTGGCCAAGGTTTTTGTTAATAATTGCTACTTTCACTTGATATTTAGTTTTGTCTATTGGTAGTTTTGTTGTAAATGTTTGCATTTTGCAATAGTTATACCTTAATAACTTAACTGTTTATGCACAAATTCTGGATCTATTTCCGTATGCGTAATGGAATATAATATTGTCAGGTTGTTTTGGATGTGGAGTATGTGCATGCCTGATTTCTCTCTTATCTCGCAGCACTCAACACGTGTATGATTTTATATGATACCTGCTGATAAGCACAAGTCATCTAAATTTACCATTCTGTGCACTGCATAGTTGGCAGCTAGTTAGTTGGAAGTGTGATTTAACAGATATGATGCAACGAGCCTGACAGAACTTGACAGACTATGCTTAAAAAAAAAAGAGTTTACATTGGGATCTCTTCTAAGGAATATTTCTTTGTTTTCTTTCTGCAGTGCCTCTGGCGCCAGTGTTGTGGCCATTGATAACAAAATAGAGCAAGCTATGGTGAGTATTTAAAAAAAAAAAATCTTAAATACATTAATGCATTTATCAATGAATTAAAAATAACTTTGATATTGTACTTGGGGGACAAGACAAGGTAATTAAAGTGAATATGGTGCAATTAATAATTCATGATATTTGTAAACAATACTTTCTGCCTTTTGAAAAATGATTAGGATGTGTACAATCTTTTACTTTTTATCTATTTATTTTTATTGACTTATTGAATTTTTACTTTTTGAAACTTATTGAAAAGTTTTTCAAATCCATATGAAACCAGAATAAATATCAAGAGTACTTTAATAATAACTTGCATTTATCATGAACAGACTCAATGTAATAAATCCCATTGTTTGGAGAAAAGTTCTTCCAAACTTTGTAAAAAAAAAAAACCACTTTATCCCTAAAACATGTTATATTACACAAGTGCTGGTAAATTAAACCATATATAATTTTAGAGTTTTAAGCAAAAATAGATCTGATTTGATTTTTTTCTTGCCATAAAAATAGCCACAGAAGCTGGCATGACACACACTCTCTCTCTCTCTCTCTCTCTCTCTCTCTCTCTCTCTCTCTCTCTCTCTCTCTCTCTCTCTCTCTCTCTCTCTCTCTCTCTCTCTCTCTCTCTCTCTCTCTCTCTCTCTCTCTCTCTCTCTCTCTCTCTCTCTCTCTCTCTCTCTCTCTCTCTCTCTCTCTCTCTCTCTCTCTCTCTCTCTCTCTCTCTCTCTCTCTCTCTCTCTCTCTCTCTCTCTCTCTCTCTCTCTCTCTCTCTCTCTC